TCTTCTTTGAGCTCTCAATCGAACAAGTTTTATTACAAAAAACATCTCCAAATGAAAAGCGCAACACTACAGGAATCAAACACTGTACGAAAAAGGGTTGAGACAGTGAAAACAGAATGTTGACTTACCTTAGCCTTGACTGTGTAGATGAGACTCTGGTTAAGCAATATCTGTTTGCAACATAGAAATTATCCCCATATGGAATACCATGGTTAACCACCTCTGTATCTACCACGTACAACTGACCTTCTTTACAAACATCTTTGTAAGTAGTCTAATAAGACAACAACATAAGTATCAATTTAATGAACAGATCCTGTATTAAGTGTCAATAAACACTGCATGTGTTAGATACAGGAAATGTTCAAAATACGAGACACCGAAACCGTTTTATTTTTAAATTAATTAATTAATTAATGAGTTAAGCTGGTTACTATCAGTGCAGAAAGCTAGTTAGGCCATTCCCAGCCACAAGATTCAGAAATATGAAAGGTAGAGCAAGTGAATTTTTTTTTGTGCACCTGAACTTCAGTAGATTCTGCAGTCTTGGGTCCAAACGATGCAAACAGTGTTAGTGTATAAGTCATGGTACGCACCATCTTGTTGTTGTCAACATCTTGCCATGAGAACATGACAATGTCTGCGATGAAAGTGATCAGAGAAATAATAGTGTATGAGAGAAGTTATAGAAAAGTGTGGAGTCGTAACTACTGTGTTTCATCTATTACAAGTGCATTTCCAAAAACAGCATGCAAGTCTAAAATACTTCTGTTTTGCAGTATCTGTACTTTTTGGCGCAGACAGTACAGGAGATGCACTTCTAATAGAGTACACACAGTATTTGGAGTTATAATGGATTATGGTTTATTTATTCACTTTTGTCAAGCAGTTTATATTCTGAAATTGAATGAGGAACTGACCTCCAATGCATTACACAAGCTGATTATGATCTGTGTTGCCTCGTCTTACAAACAAAGCAACATCAGTGTAAAGCATGTGGAAGCAGACATCTGCTGAATGATGTGTATTTATGGTTCATGCTCACCATAATCCGTTACAGTAGAGAATATCTTGTTAAGGTATGTCAACAATCTGAGTGAAATCAAAGGCGGAATATGTAATAAAGAGAGATATACAGGACATGCTAATTTTAATGACCCAGGGTAACTACTAGTATTCCTCAAAGAGAACCCTGGGTAACTGATGAACAGAGATGACCCGGGGTAACTTCAATGACAACTTGCTATCGACAAGAGCTTAGATGAGCTCGGTGAATATAGAACATAGAGAACCCTGGGTAATTCAGGAACATGGAGAACCTTGGGTAATTTAAAAACACAGAGAACCCTGGATAAATGAGCAACATAGAGGACCATGGATCAAAAAGGAACATAGAGGGTTCAGGGTAAAAAGGAATATAGAGGGTAAAAAGGAATATAGGGGGTAAAAAGGAATATAGCGGTCAAAAGTAAAAAAAATATAGAGGCATGGGTAAAAAAGGAACATAGAGGGTCAAAGGTAAAAAGGAACATAGAGAGGCTTGGGTAAAAAAGGAACATAAAGGGTCAAGGGTAAAAAAGGAATATAGAGGATTGAGGGTAAAAAATGGAACATAGAGGGTCGAGGGTAAAAAAGGAATATAGATCACCATGGGTAAAAGGACATAAAGGACCCTGGGAACATGTTACCTACAAGAGTTTGGATGACCCAGATTAACGGAGGAACATAGAGAACCATCAGAAATTGAGAAACATAAGATAACCCTGGGTAATAGAGCTACATAAGAATTTCTGCAAAAAAATACTTGATGACCCTGGGTAACTCGTCATCCACAGACAGCAATTGATTGCACTCAGAGAGAAACACTATACAAACCAATTGTATACATTTGGGAAAAAAAGAAATGAGATAGAGGAGATAATAAATGCCAAATTTCAAGACTATAAATAACCTGTGTGATGGTTGTTGGTACTTTACGAGGACCAAATCTGGAAGGATTTCGCACTACGAAATCAACGTGCCGTACATACTTTCCAAACTCCTCAGTTTCCCACTGCCCTGCTATGTAGTCTGTTAAACCAATATTAAATGATAAAAAAAAGTTGGTAAATGATTAAAGTGTCACAGTCGTAGCAGCACATGTTCATATTCTGTGTGAATAAACTCAACAGTTTGTAAACATCACACATCACTACAATGGGCACAACGACTGTAACACTTTAACAATAGAGGATTTCCACGTTCTGACGAGATCTCGCATAGAGTGATTTTGGACTTTTTATGACAAAGGACACTTTCCTGCTATTACTGGCAGCGAGGTTATTTATCACTCAATTCTCTATTTCTTTGTATATTTCTGACTGCCTCGCCATGGTCATTGTTAAATTATTGAGCTGAAAAACGTTTTAAGTAACTTTACATTGAGACAAATCCTACTACTAGTAATATAAGAATAATATTTCATAAAGAATCAAATTCATTTAAACATAACAAAAACATTTAAACATATTTAAACAAATTCATTTAAATAAATCTTCAACAAGTAAGAAAAAGAATTCAGATATCAAGATTTTTGTTTAGAACAGCTCAAAAATATACCCAATTTTGTGAACATAATTTTGCAGGCATAAATCACAGTTTAAACTTTTCACCACCAGACTTTCTCGTCCAATTTTTTCTGCACTTTACTCTTATATTTTTAAATACTAGTATTTCTTGAAATTAACCCTAATTTTGGAGCCAAGTGACAAAATTTGAGGAATTTCAGTTTTTACTCAAAAAATTTGACTATTTTTGTCTCAGTCATGGGAAAGAAAGTGCAGACATGTAAATGGGACTATTTTGTGAATTTATGATGAAAAGTGGGAGATGGTAAAGAAAAGGTTAAAACTCATCATTGGTAAACAAATGACTCTGCAATACATGCATCTATTTTAGGCTGTAGAACAGTACACAGTAGAAAATGACCTGTGACACACTCATTTGTCAAATCAAGCGAGATCCCGAAAGATACTAGAAATGGTCTATTCAGCAGCTACAATGCCAAAAATATAATGAGAATGCATGTTGTATTGGCAGGGTGGCTGTGAATATGCAAAAAAAAAAAAAACACACTACAGTAAATGCAAACCTGGGAAACCTAAAACAGCATCCAGAGTAATTTTGGAAAAAATTTTTTCTTATAATATCATTTTTAAATTTTACACCAAAGTATATGCATTGATTTGACAGAGGGGATAACAAATAAAGGACAAATATTTTCATCAGTTTTTAGGTAAAAATGTTCAGTAATAAGTTGCAGTTTTTTTTCATACAAACATAAAACATGCAACAGTGAGTATAAAAACAATACGTTAGGTCCACATAACAAATTGAAACAACAGAATTTTCGAAATTTAATGTTTTTTTCAAAATTAAACTGGACACTGTTTAAATAAAATGAGAGAAAATATGGAAATGCAAACTGTATTGTATTATGTTTCATGGAGTGTGTTCGTTGATGATCCTTAAAATAGCAAAACATTGAGGAAGTAGAGTTGCCTGCATGATAAGATCACAACTCATGAAAAATGTATTATATTAGTTTTGTTAATATGCAATTAATTAATTTATTTGTCTGTGACATCACTGGGTAATCAAACGAAAGAAGAGATGAGTCAGTTACATGAACATTTGAGACACGTAAACACACTCCTAAATTGTAAAAATTAGAATTAGTAATACTAAGAAGTTTAATTAAAATGTTAATTTACACATGCACAATATGATATCACATAGAAAACTAGCCCAGGATCGAAAGCCTTGTCAGAGAGGGTAATATTTATATTTTATATTTACATACCTACTTGCACCAAGTTTCTGGTCATTATTATTATTTTGTGTTTGGTATATCTGTTTCATTCAAAACAATGCATTTTGGTATAGCAGGATTCATGGCTGTGTTAGAGTAGACAGCTTACAATCAAATGTAAATATAACCCACTCTGACAATGACATGGATCCATGGTCCCAATATCGAAGGTCTATTATATCCTTACCAGGCAGCTTATTAATCACCATATTTAGAAGCCAAATCTTGTAATTAAGTTATGTTTAGTGTATTATTTCATAGTACTAATAAATGCGACAGTGTAAATATGTAGTGCTTCCATCAAATGGTAATTTTGAGATGTACTCACTTGTTGTCTTCCGGGCTTCCAAGAAGTCCTTATAGAAAGTATGTTTATCAGCAAAGAGCATATCAAAAAGGATATCGACTGGGAAATCATAGACTTCACTGACACATTTACGTCCAGGATGCTCAGTACATGGACAAATCACTTCACCTGAAGTAAAACCACACAGAGACAAGGCACATGATATACGAGTACATAAACTTCAGGATAATATTGTCTCTGAATAGCCGTTGAATATTCTCAGTCAAACTTGTACTGTAAGTAAAGCGCCACCAGATGATGTGCATACTTCATTACCACAAGCGCCCTCACATGACATAGGAGTAAATTTACTTTGTTTTTAGACCAAATAGCAGTTATATGAAATAAAATGTGCATACTCTTACAAACCTAACAATTCAACCAGTATGTACTAAGCTACAAAATATACTAATGTTGATGTGCCACAGTGAGTTGTGGCACACATACAAATGTATTTGACATGCTTTGGAATTAACCTGAATAAGTAAACATGACATGCTGCATGGGACCCATAATAAACATGACATATTGCATGGGACCCATAATAAACATGACATGTTGCATGGGACCCATAATAAACATGACATGTTGCATGGAACCCATAATAAACATGACATATTGCATGGGACCTATAATAAACATGACATATTGCATGGAACCCATAATAAACATGACATATTGCATGGGACCCATAATAAACATGACATATTGCATGGGACCCATAATAAACATGACATATTGCATGGGACCTATAATAAACATGACATATTGCATGGAACCCATAATAAACATGACATGTTGCATAGGACCCATAATAAACATGACATGATTGCATGGGACCCATAATAAACATGACATGTTGCATGGGACCCATAATAAACATGACATATTGCATGGGACCCATAATAAACATGACATGTTGCATGGGACCATAATAAACATGACA